GTTCATAGTCATGTAATTTTATAAGCCTACATATTTTAATCTAATAATTCAGATATAGCTATAGTTTGAACAAGTGAAAGAATGTCAAGAACCTAAGTTTCACTATTATCGGTTTATTTATACATAAAATTAATTTTTGTGTGTACTGATTTTTACATAGGCAAAAGGAGGCGACACAGCATGCATGGAAGTCTCAAAAGACTCAGGGAACCTCTAGCTTTGCAGAAGTATAAAAGGATTTTTAAAATAAAGTGGGATAAACAGCAACTCCACAAAATCAGATTTATTTCTCCAAGTTTCAGGAAGCGGGGGGGAGAGAGAATTATTTCAAATTCACTTAAATACCCCTGAAAAGTAAGGAGGAAACATGTTTTAAGTTTCACCTCACTGCAAGATAATTACCCACCTCATTCCAATGAATGAAAAGGTAGAGGCTGTCTTGATTTAAATTTGACTCCTAGCAACCACATGGAACCATTCATATAATTTTTTGGCAAATATTCTAAAGTAGTTTTTGGCTACTTTCAATAAGACATTTTATAATCTTCCCAGTCTAGTCTACAGCCTAAGGATTCCTGGTAATCTTTCACTTAAATACTAACCAGGTCTGACCCTGTTAAAATTTTGGAAGCTGGTCAAGGTCATCTAGGTGCTGACACCTGGTGTAAGCCTCAAATTCCAACTTTTTTTTTTCTTTCTAGCATTTTTCCTGCAGCTTCAGGGTCCGCTTATTTTGGATCAACCAAATGTTGATCCATTGGTCCTGACAGAAATTGACCAACCAGCTTGTCACCCGAGCCTGGCATTGTAGGCTGAGAGAGAGTGACTGGCCCAAAGTCACCCAGCCAGCTTTCAAGCCTAAGGTGGGACTAGAATGCAGAGTCTCCTGGTTTCTAGCCTTAACCACTACACCAAACTGGCTCTCCTTTAAATTCCAACTAGAGTTGGTTAGTTAAAAAAAGATACACATACTAATATACTCAAAGTAGATTGGAAAAGCATATTGGCTGTTAATTGGAAAAAAAAACCAAAACAGAAACTGAGGGAAGAGGAAGAGTTTTGCTTTCTTGAGCCCTATACCTCAACCTGCAGTTACCATCCTTAACAGACACATTTTTCTTAGGGCTAGGGGAATACACCATCACTTCAACACAGTACCATTTGTTCCCTTTATTGCTAACCTTCAGCCTGTGAATGCTATTCTCTAACAGGGAAACCTGATGCCTGAACCTTCTAAAGAATATATACAATTTATTATCCCCAATAAGACTTACTTATCATTTGCCTAATATGTGGTTTCATTTTAAGGAACTTTTCAGTTGTGCTTACTAGCTACAGTTCCTTGCAGTGTCCAAATTAATTGCAATAAGTTATTTGCTGAATTGCATTCTAGTTCTTTGAAAAGATATTCAGATGCCATGATGTGTCTATACTTACAAATATCAGAATAGTGCAAACAATGGTATTCCTTGTGATGTTCTATGGAAGAAAAAGTTGGACTTTAAAGAACCGGGATAGGAAGAGTATTGATGCTTTTGAATTTTGGTGTTGGAGAAAACTCCTGAGTATAATGTGGACAGTCAAGGAAACACACAAATGGATCATCGAACAAATCAACCCAGAGTTCTCACTTGAGGCACAAATGACCAGGCTTAAATTATCCTACTTTGGACACATTGTGCAAAGACCTAGTTCTCTAGAGAGGGCTGGGAAAGGTGGAAGGAAAGAGAAGAAGAGGATGACCATTAGCAAGCAGATAGACTCTGTTTCAGTGGCAATAGGCGCACCACTGGAAGATCTGAAAGACCAGGTCAGGGACAGATTGTCATGGAGAAAACCTAGCTGGGTAGTTGCTAATAGTTGACTTAATGGCACTTAATCAAATCAAAATCATTCCAATTCAGTTCTAGCACTGAATCCAAGAGATAAACAACAACAACAACCCAATTGTTGTATTAACAAAAACCCGTTTAGTATAATAGTTAAGGCATCACGTTAGAAACCAGGAGACTGTGAGTTCTAGTCCTCCCTTAGACAAAAAGTCTTCTGGGTGACTTTGGGCCAGTCCTTCTCTCTCAGCCCTAGGAAAAAGGCAAAGGCAAATCACTTCTGAAATCTTGCCAACAAAACTGCAAGGACTTGTCCAGGCAATCTCCAGGAGTTAAGACTGACTTGAAGGCATCAATGCTATTTGTATTAAGACAATAGAGATGAAGAGATTTCATTTCCTTCTAAAGCAGCCAGTCTTCTTTACTCCCAACACACCGTAACAGTCCATCTTCTAAATCCTTGGCTCTTTCATTCACTGTTATACAACTTTAATCTGAGAAACTGGCTAGCATTTCATGTGTTACATTTCAGCATATGAAACTGACTTGTACTAAGCCAGCCTGTTGGTCTATCTAGCCTAACTATTGTCAGAGGAACGGTAGCTCTCCAAGGTTTCAAACATATAGAAAACATTTGCACCAGCAGCTTTTGATCCAAATCTGTTTGGAGAGACATCTTTCTGGCATAATATTCCAAGAAACACTCGACTTTTAGCAGGTTTTCCTTTCTTGGACATGCACACAGATATTAGAAATGTTTTTAAGAAACATTCAGCTATAGATCATTTATTTTTGGTCTTTTATTTATTCATTATTTATACATCACATTTATATAGCCACCGAACTCACGCAAAGTGACTCTCAGTGGCTATATATAGAGTTAGGATTAGATAATATAGAGTTAGGATTAGATTCTAACATTGAGAATAATTTAAGGACCTTCTTAACTTTAACAGAGATTGTACCACATGGAAGTTAGATAAGTTTCCAACATTTTGAAAAAATCATATAATGCAAAGAGTCAAAAGTTAGTTAAGAGATAGAAAGACTAAATGGAACAAATGGATAATTATATAAAAAAGCAAATTTGTGAACAAAGAGCTTTTATTTCTTGTGATCATTAATCATAATTGATGGACTGGTTCTCTCAAAAGTTAGCTAATCCATTTTAGAAACTATTCCAGTGGTAATTACAGCATTGTGCAGAAGTGCATTTGATCACATAATTAAGTATTATTAGTCGTCGTTAGCTTCATTCTGATCCTTCTCTGTTAAGTGCACTGACCACATATTCCAATCTTTTAAGAAAAATACATGTTTCTATATATTTTCTTCATACTAATTCTTATTTTTAAAATGTCTGACCTCATTACTCTCAAAAATATTGATTTGCTTAGGAAATTCATTGAAAACAGGGTGCAGTTCCAAACTTGCTAAATTTTCCCATTCAATTCAGTATTCTTCCTTTTGGTCTTAAGATACACATGCATCCTGTATCTCCAATTCACAATAGCTCCAAACAGTATCTCCTAGTACCATTTCATCTTACCTTTACCAGGAAAGAACTGAACCTTATTCATTCCTTCAGCTACATGTGAACCTCCCAGGATCATTTCACCTCTTCATTTTTCAAATCTTTTCTATACACATTCATCTAGTACACTTATATAGGATACATGCTTCATTATTATGCTACATGATTTTTATTATCACAATTATCCAATACTTTAGATTAGGCTGACAGTAACTGGAAACAATCTCTCTGGAGAACACTGTGCCTGAGATGGATTTGATCTTCAGCTCCCTAGTCCTGTACAGATACTGCAATCAGAATTTTCTACAGAGAAGACTTTGTATCTGCTGGGCATTTCAACTGCCTTTTCTTTGCATTTCTGAAGTATGGCTACATAGTTGTATGGCTGAGAACAGCAGCATGCCATTTGCCAATACCACTGCCCCCACCCAAAAGACTTACTTCAACATTAACCAGACAATTTTCTAGTGTCAGTGTTAATTCTATTGACTTGTGAGGGGACTTAGTTTTTTAATCTTATTGAAAGATGGGATGGGATAGTCTTAGCTAGCAGTCAGGTTTTAGTTCTATTTTCAAAATGAGATCACACTCCTTTTGTGATCACAATCCCCATGGCATGAAATGAAATGCCTTCAGAGTAGCCATTGTGCAGTGAAAGCTTTCACAATTCTTTCAGGTTCCAAATGCACTCAGGACCCCTAAAGTCTGACAATCCAAGTACTTTAAGATGCAGCAGTGGCAAATCCTTATACGAAACCACTTTGATATCAATTATTTTCCAGATTATTTGCTAATAATACATTTCCGGTGAACCTTCCATTCTGACTAAATCTCCAAGGAGAGAAAATCATTTCAGAACCCACCAATCTATATTTCTGGGTTACAGCTTTTGTCCAAGTTTCATCACTTTTAGTTGCCTCCTTATATCAGATACAAATCTTCATTCTAGTCATCCATCATTAGATATCATGACTCAGGTCTGAGGAAGTAGCAGATCAAGTCCCTTTTAAGCATACTGTTAGTGATGACAGTTGAAAGGACAGGATAAAGACAGTGCACATGCACAAAACAGTCTCTATGTCCTTCCTGGCTGCTTTTCAGCAAGAAGCTAAAAGCCCTTCCTGTGGCAACATTATTCAGCTGGGCCACATAGGGGCTAAAAGGAAGAAGAGAAGTTTGTCTCTTACATTTCAACAGCTTCTCTAGCTGCTTGCCCCCTTGCCTTCTCTCACAGCCTTAGGAAACCGTACAGGAGAGCCATGAAACCTCTATTTCTCAATGATCACCTGAAAAGTAAATTTCATGCCACTGTGAAACTGCCAAACTTGCCAGAAGTGGAAAATTTTAGATTCTGATTCAGAATCATGACATGGAGTGGTGAGAAATTATGAGAGTTGGAGGGGAAAAAAATTACCTTACTCTGCCTACTGTATATACTTCTTATATAGTAACAGGTTTCAGGGGAAGCAATATTATGATTGATAAACCAAATTGTAAGTAGCTATATTAAGCCAAGCCTAACATCTGTATACTTCTAATGATTGTATTATCCTCCCCAAGATTTGAATAATTTATGGATAGATTTTAAAAGCAAAAGTCCCAGTGGATTTCCCAGAAAATGTAAACAAGTAACTTACCTGAACTATTTCTAAGTTCAAATCTTGTTTCTCCTTCTCTGTTTGATTCTGTTACTTCACAAGTGTAATTTCCTAGAAGGGCTTCCTTTGTAGATACAACAAGTGAAGCAATGCCGAAGGGTAGCATTGAGCGGTTCTGAAAAGTTGCAGTCTGAAAACTACTGTTTCTAGTAATGTTATCGGTAACTCCATCAAAAATGAAAAATCGTTTTCCTTGAAATAGCCACGTCACAAACATTGATGAGCTCTGATTATATTTCAGATTAGTTACAACACAAGGGAGGATGACCACAGCTCCATTACAGGAGTCTATTTCAACAAAAGGAACACTCTTAAAGAACAGTTGGGCTGAACCTAGAAAGAAGAGGAAAAAAGATGTTAATATCTGTGTTTCAAGAAGGAAATATGACTAACGCAGGAGTACATGAATTTTACCTCAGCTGAAGGTGATAGGCCAAGAAGCCTGTTTTGCCAGAAGATGCCATGCTTAAAGCTTGAATCTTTGCTTTACCTCAGAGTAGTTTTTGAGAGCTCAGACCCCCCTCTTTTTTGGGGGGGAGGTGAAAAAACCAATTAGAAGAAACTGTCAAATAGAAAATGGGTTGCATTTTAAGGGTTTAAGGGTTTTAAAAGGAAGAAAAGATGTTGCAATAACTTTATCTCCTTGTGCCTTTGTTTTTTTTCCGTTTCACCTAACCCTATCTCCGAACAGATCAGCTATAAACCACGAGAGACATCTGCTTCCAGTTTGACTAAAGAAGCTTCCTTTTCCCCTCCTTCTCCCTCTCTTCTCTCTTTCCTATGCCGTCTTCTCTTTCCTGTCCCTTCCCATTGATAGGTTAGGGTATAACAATTAGTGACCATTTCCTGACCTTCAAGGAGAGATAGTAAAGGTTCACTATACGTAAACCACTTTGAGCTTCAGTAAAGAGACAAAAAGATTAATCCTGATTTGGTTCTTGAAGAGAAACAAAGGGGGATGTAATCTAGACATATACAAGGGGGATGGCCAGGCTGATAAAATGTAGTATGTGTGTGTGTAGTTGTGTGTATGTCTGAATAAGAAGTAATCCCGAAGGGCAGGAAACTGTTAATCCCATGCAACAGGCAGAAGGTGACCAGTGCCTCACTGTAGCAATAATACCCAAAGGTAAGAAACTGGCAATCTCCAGTCAATGGGTAGAAGACTCCTAGTCCCTTGGTGGCAATGACACATCCAGAGGGCTTGAAAGATCACTGGTTTCCTTGAGAGCAGAAAGCTGATAGTCCCTACCAGGACAGAAGACTGTTGGCACCTCAGGAAGTGGCATGATTGAGGAAGGACAAAGATGCCCAGATATAACCTGAGTTTAGATTGGGCCTAACAGGGGTTCCATATCATTAAGGCTTTTTAGGGTTGTATAGGGCACAGCAATCTTGCAAAAGTTGAAAGGTTTTTTTTTTAATTATTATTTTTAAAAATCCTAAAATAAAAAAATCTATATTCAGCCTATCAGACACCCAACACACCTATACTGAATCTGATTTTTTAAGAAAAAGCAAACATTCAGGCCACCAAATTTAGCAGTGCAGTTCTGAACCTTTAGTCACATACAAACCACATCTTACCCATCCCTGACGAAATATCTGGAACAAAGAAAGAAGAGTGTTCTGTACGAGTATAGTAGGCATGATTTAAGAATAAATCAGGGCATGCTATGCTATTTATTTAAAAAATGTTTAACCTGCCTTTCAGTCAAAAATATGCTTAAGTAATTGACTTCTGGGTGAGGCAATGGCAGACTAAAACTTCTCCAAAGGAGCAGAGACAATGATGCAGTGGAGATCGACAGCCAGGTGAGAAGCCCAGGCCAACCGAGCCTCTCCGCACAAAGAGAGACCAAGAGATCATCCACTTGTGCTCTGGACAGCTGCTCCTTGGATGTTGACAGGATTGCAGTCAACTTGTGATCCAAGAGCTGGGAGCCCTGGAAAAGTCAACAAGCTCACAGACATAGTGGAATCTGTAAGGATATTGGGTTTGCTAAACCTCACTTTCTTAAGCACATTTGGACTACAGCTAAAAGAGATCTTTGGAGTAGCAAAAAACAAACAAACAAACAAACCGGGTAAGTGAGCCTTCATTCCAGATTAAAGATTAAAGAAAAGAGTAAAATAATAAGTTAAAGAATTTAAGATCAATGACACAAAGCTTGGCAAGAATTTAACTTAAGAAAGTTTAAAACGGGCTAAGGAACCAGTTAAATTTGAAATATTATGATTTTTGTTAAAGTGTTTTGAAATAATTAAATACATAAAACAATACCTTGTGGGAATGCAGATTGTTTAGAGTTTTACTGAAGAGACAGTTGGTGGACTTTTCAAAATAAAGAGATAAAGGAAACTTGAGGGACACCATGTGACCATAGACTTACGGAGTGCCAGAAGAGACCAAAGACTTAAGGGCTATAGAAAGGCAAAAAAGAAAAAGAGAGAGAGAAAGCCCCTCTTTTACTTCAGTACTTGATGAAATGGCTGTTACTAGAAAAGTAGTGAAACATACAACAAAGGACAGAAAAGGGTATTACACTTAAGACATTCCAAATGTTTTTTAAGGACTTGAGAAAGAATGTTACAATTACAATAACAGCACTCATAAATGTTTATGTGAATACGTCATTCAAAAAAGATTTGAATGAAGAGATAAAAGAAGAGATGAAACATAATTTTGAAAAATCTGCAGGACAATTGAGTGAAGATCCAAATCAAATTAAAGTCAAGGTGGAAATTCTGGAAAATTAAACAGAAAGTTTGGAAAACAAAACAGAGATAATAAATAGAGAGGAAATACAAATATTAAGTCAAGAAATGAAAATGATATAGATACAGGTAGTCCCCAGGTTAAGAATGCCTGGGTTACAGACAACTCATAGCAGCAAAATTCAAGTTAAATACACAATGATTCGAGTTAAATACACAATGAGTTTACTATGCAATACTATGCAATACACAAGAGTTTACTATGCAATACTACTTATACAATATTATACAATAATACTGTTCCGACTTACATACAAATTTGATTTAAGAACAGATCTTGGGAACAGAACTCATTCTTAAGCTGGGGACTACTTGTAATGGATTACTATTGTCTTGTAAGGGAAAGAATTTTGTTCGAGACCAAAAGTATTTATAGAACAATTTGATGAAAACAGTAAGGAGAGCGCTATTGAAGCTTTAAAAACACTTCCAGAATGGGAGGAGGAAGATATGGATGGAGATCAGGTCCTATGACAACATTTTAAAGTCAAGCTAAGGATCAAGAATGTCAGAATACTGCATAAGACAAAAGAATACAAAATTGATTTGTTTGATCAGGGATAAGGTAATAATTATAAAATACTGGAAACCCTTTATGGACTTTTTGCAGAAACTGGAAAGAAATATTGGATCTGCAGATTGAAAACGACTGGGACGTAGAAGAAGAGATTTAAGTAATGTAATTTCAAATGGGGAAGAAAGAGATTAAGTTTGTTTGGAACTGTTGCAAAGAAGATCAGAAGTCACTTCTTTAAATACCTTTTTCTTTTTTCTTTTTTTCTCTCTCTTTTTCTTTCCCTCTTTATTTTCTGCACTCTCTATTGTTTCTTTATATTTCTCTCTTCTCTCTTTTCTCCTTTCTTTTAATTTCATTTTGCATTATCTTTTATTATTGTTAAAATTCTTAATAAAATTAACTCTATACAGGCCCCAAATTGTCACATGTGTAGGTTAATATATAAAGTGGGATAGGTGTCAAATAGTTATGTACAGGTGCTAATGAGAAAATGTCATATTCTTCTACATGAAATAAGAGAAAAATATTGAGAGTTCAAAAAAGGAAGTGTCCCTTGGATAGAAGAGCCAAGGAAAAACAGAGCAGGAGTAATTCTGGCTAAAAATCGCTTGAGTAAAATGCCCTCAAGGACAGTTAGATTTACCAACTAAGGACTGTTCAACAGCACAATTGTCAGGCTTACAACTGGATGCAAAAGTTTAGGCACCCCTGGTCAAACTGTACACTTCAATGAATCCTTAAGTGAACAGAGGCTGACACAACCTCTACATGGTACAAAATGAAGATAATTCACTCTTACAAAGCAGGGTGAGGCTATAAACAAATTTCTAAACACTTCCAGCTATGGAATTGGAAATGGAAGTTACACTGAAATCAAGGCAAGATCTGGAAGATGAAGAAAAATCTCTGCTAAAGCTGCCTGAAAACTAATTAGATCTACAAAACAGGACCCACAGATCACTGCAAACCACCTGCTAAAAAATGTAGTGACACTGTAGTACATCTGGAGATCCACAGTACAATACTGCTTAGACACAATGATTTGTATGGGAGAATTGCCAGATTTTTGTTTTCCTTTCTGACCTCAATATAGAAATTATTGTTTAAAATATGCAAAAGAAAACTTCAATAAGTCTGAAATGATTTGAACTAATGAAATACAAATTGAAATGTTTGGCCAGAATCATGTAAGTTACATTTGAAGAAAAGACCATCTCACCAATTGTTAGATAAAAGTTCTATTATGCTTTGGAGTTGTGTGACAAAGTGTCAAAGAAATATTGTGCTGGTAAAAGGAAGATTAGATTCATCTAGGTATCAGCATATCCTAGAAACCCTGCAGTCAGTGAAGATATTGAAGCTGGAGAAAGGTTGACTATTTCAACAAGACAACAATGTGAAACACACCTCCGAATCAATTGTGAAATAGGAAGGAGAGATAAAGGTTTCTGAATGCACTTCATAGTTCTCAGAGGTGAATACTATTGAGAATCTGGAGAAATATCAAGCATATAGCGTAATCAAGTAGAAGAATATTTTTGAGCTAGAAGGTTCTCCAAGAAAGAGTGGGGAAAAAACCCAAAAGCAAGAATAGAAAGATTCTTGTCTGGCTACAGAAAATGATTGAAAGCTGTTAATTGTTCCAAAGAAGTGTTAGAATGTAGTATCTGAAAAGATGTCCAATCTTCTGTACCTGCCATTTTATTCTTTCTTATCTGTAAACAACTGCACATAAATAGGAAGTACATATTCATATTTGCAGAAAGGCATCATGTTTAACCTTGTGCCATATAGAAGTTGCATCACCTTCTCTTCATTTAGGGATTGACTGAAACGAGCATTTCAACAAAAGATGTCTAAACCTTTGCATACAACTATATATTTTGTTTGTTTGAGCTGGGTTGGAATGATACTTCTTTACATATTTTGTTGCCTGGTTTTTCTTAGTATTCATAGACAGGTGGTCTAGTCAGGAAGCACATTCTTTAAAATATCCAGATCGCCTTCCTCCTCCATCCTTTCCTACTACTTTCTTTTA